CTCCCCACCCCCCCTCTCTCTCTCTGTCTCTCTTTCTCTCTCTCTCTCTCGCTCTCTCTCTCTCTCTCTCTCTCTCTCTCTCTCTCTCTCTCTCTCCTCGAGTAAAGTAGCAAACACACAAAATACCGGAACGCATACGGAGACGTATAAACACAAATTACACAGTGGGCGTAAATTACAGGGAGATTCAGAAAAGGCACGCCCACCTCTCTATGTATCGCATCGTGATGAAATCAGGCGCTCATCAAAATAATGGAACCCAAGAAACCGACATTATTCCTCTCGTTGAGCAATTCGTATCGATTCTGTTTTGTTCTGGACCAGACATAATCTTCTTCTTCAGGTGTCAAGTCTGGAGCAGACATTGCCGATCATGGTACCCCATCATTTCCTGTTGTCTGTCTTCCTGATCAGCTCGGGTTTTCTCTTTGTATTATTCCTTGCAACGTAGTTCAGGCCATCTGCGTATGTTTCCCTCTATCTTACTACACAGCAACAGTTTTTCCAGTCCACTTGATCTATTTATGTAGCCAAATAATCTCTATTGTGTTTTTTCTGATGGTTCAGGCTATTGATCTTTCACAATCTTCCATTCCATTTCGGGCACTTCTCTATTTGTTTTCCTTTCTGTCCAAGAAATTTTGAGTATTCTCCATAAACCGTAGGTCAGCGGCCCCAAGTCTTCTCTCTGTGTCATTGTTTAGAGCCCAGCTCTCGCATCCATACAAAAGGATTGGCCATGTACGCTTTCAGGCTTGTTATTGCTGTGTTCACTCTTATGTTTCTACTTTAGTGGATACGTTTCATCTTTCTAAAAGCTTCTTTGGATATTGCAAACCTCTCAGTGCCATATTTTTTTATCTGGTGAAATTGTGCAACCAAGATATTAAAGGCTGTTGACCTGTGTCATTCTTTCGTTCTTACATGTGATGTTGCATACCAGGATGTCAGCATTTAAAAAATATCACCTTGGATTCCATTTTCTTTGCGTTCAGCAGTGGGCTCTTCTCTTCGTTTTTCTCTGTCACACTAGTTAGGATCTATTGAAACGAAAACTCAGAATCAGTTTTTAATACCGTATCATCAGCGTACCGTAAGTTGAAATACTGTGGCCGCCTACTTTGGCTCCTTCTATATCAGTGATGTCACACAGTATCATTTCGCTGGAGAAAATAAAGAGAAATGTGGAAACTTACGACAAGAGCAGAGCTCTGGGCAGAACTCTCTGTAGCTGGGTCCCATTTCCGGGTCATTGCAGTCGCTTTCCGGTACCTGGGCACAGATGTCGTAGTCCAAGAATTGCACAGGGTTTTGACATAGCTCTGAGGATCAACAAGGGGTAGTCGCTTTAGTTTTATGGCTTTGTAATTACAGCGTATTTTCAAATAAAAGAATGAAAAGCAAAATGTACTTGGAAACAGTATAATCCTTTCAAGGAGATGAGATGAGAATCTTCGATATGATTTGTAATCCTATGTATAACAATCGATGGCAGTCTTATAAAACATAGCAATGAACGGGTTGACCCCCCTCCCCACCCCCCCTCTCTCTCTCTGTCTCTCTTTCTCTCTCTCTC